CTGCTGTAGTGGGAGTGAATTCATTTCAACCCACACATGAATGGTTCAATATTGGACCATTTGAAACAAATCAGCAAGGTTAGGAAGCAACATAAATGGGTTCTGCATGAATTAAACAAATGTCAGAAGAAAAAAAGGGGCAGGGGAGGGTCTGGCGCCTGTGGCTCAAAGGAGTAGGGCGCCATATGCCAGAGGGTGGTGGGTTCGAACCTGGCCCTAGCCAAAGGCTGCCAAAAAAAAGAAAAAGAAAAAAAGGGGTGGGGGAAGAAAAATCATCTTGAAGCTTTCCTTTGTTTGCTGTCAAAACATCAGGACGAACTGTTTCTATACCATATTACCTGTAATTAAAAATGGATGCTTTGAGACAGTTGCATTTGGCACAATGGTTGGATAAAGACAAAGTCCTGAAACACAGGCTCAAACCAAATATTATCAAAACTTTATCTCTTTGATGGTCTAGCACTTATCTACTACAGCTTCATGAAACCTGGTCAATTGATTACAGCAGATAGCTATTGTAACCAATTGGATGACATGATGAGGGAGGATTCTTGCATTTAAGCAACCAAGATTGGTCAATTAGAGACAGGCCAATCTTCTTACAAAAAACATGGCTGTCACACAAACAATACTGCTCCAACTACAGAAGCTGGACTTGGAAACTCTCTTATCATCTACCTGTATTCAGCAGACCTTGCACCAACTAACTACCACTTCTTCCAGGCCTTGGACCTCTTCTTACAAAGAAAAATATCAGTCTGGAAAATGCTTTTTGGAATTTCATTGCCACTCACTCCAGACTTTTTTACTGCTGGCTTATATAAGCTACTTTTAAGATAAAACTGTGTTGATAGTTTAGGCACATAGTTTGATTAATTATATTGTTTCTTATTTGAGATATAACTTCTGGTTTGAAATTGGACATTTCATATTTTAATGACCTAAGTAGTAGACACCCAGATGTAGAAGTGACAAAACAGTCATTATTATTATTGTTTTTAAGACAGTCTCACTCTATTGCCCTGGTTAGAGAACCGTGGCATCATAGCCCACAGCAACCTCAAACTCTGGGACTCAAGCAATCCATCTGCTTCAGCCTCCCACATACAGCTGAGACTACAGGATACCCAGCTAGTTTTTCTGTTTTTTGAAGAGACAAGTCTCACTCTTACTCAGGCTGATCTCAAACTCCTGAGCTCAAGTGTCCACCCACCTTGGCCTCCCTGAGTGTTGGGATTATAGGCCAACCATGCCCGACCTGTCAGTTTATTAACTATTCATGCAGTTGAGTTTTTCAACCAGATTAGAACAAAATTGTATCCTTTTTTTCTTAAAAGAAAATTCTACGGCTCAGCGCCTATAGCTCAACCGGCTAAGGCGCCAGCCACGTACACCTAAGGTGGCGGGTTCGAATCCCCAGCCCGGACCCGCCAAACAACAATGACGGCTACAACCAAAAAATAGCCGGGCGTTGTGGCAGGCGCCTGTGGTCCCAGCGACTTGGGAGGCGGAGGCAGGAGACTCGCTTGAGCCCAGGAGTTGGAGGTTGCTGTGAGCTATAATGCCACAGCACTCTACCCAGGGGGACAGCTTGAGGCTCTGTCTCAAAAAAAAAAAAAAAAGAAATTCTACGAATTGTATATAATTAAAAAATAGAAATTTTCAGATATTAGTACAATACTTTTATACTCAAATTCTAAATTGATACTGTAAGATTATCTGATATGTGGTCCATATGCAAATTTCCACAATTGTCATGATAATTTTCTTTATAACTCTTTTCTCTGATTCAGGATCCAGTCAAGGGTCTTTCATTGAATTTATTTCAGTCTCTTTGAATCCAAAACATTTCTGGTATTTTTGTTTGTACTTTTCATGAGTTAAACATTTCTGAAGAGTCTAGGCTAGTTTTCTAGAGTGTCCCTTCATCTAGTCCCTGTTCTGTCATTTTTAGATACAAGTTAAACTTTGATAAGAACATGATAAAGATGATGTTTTGTCCTTGCCATTGCTCACATCAGGACAGGTAACATCAGATGTGTAAATTATTGGTGATGTTAAGTTTAATCATTTGGTGGGATACTTCCATTATAAAGGTACCCATTTCCCTTTCTGATTCGGTTATCAGTGGAATAATTCTTTGAAGCAGTGAATATCCTCATCCTCAAGAACTTTTACCCAGTGGTTTTGTCATTCACTGATTTTTTTTGGAATCAGTTACTTTGTTAGTAGTTAAAAATGGTAACATGGTAACTTTTTTCTAATTCTGTTTCTTTTACATTTATTAGCTAGTAGCCTTCTGTAGAGAAGTGTTTTCTTCTATCTGTGCTACTTTCCACCTATTCCCCTTCCTGCCCTTTTTTTTTTTTTTGTGACAGAGTCTGAAGCTGTCACCCTCAGTAGGGTGCCATGGTGTCACAGCTCAAACAGCAACCTCAAACTCTTGGGCTTAAGTGGTTCTTTCGCTTTAGCCTCCCAAGTAGCTGGGACTATCAGTGCCCACCACAACACCTGACTATTTTCTTTGGTTGTGGTTGTCATTGTTGTCTGGCAGGCCCAAGCTGGGCTCAAATCCACCAGCTCTGGTAAATGTGGCTGGTGCCCTAGCTACTTGAGCTACAGGTGCCGAGCCCCTCCCCACCTTTCCCCCTTTTTTTCTTACTGTATACCAGAACTCAGGAGAAGTAACAGAAAATTACTAGTGCCCAACAAGGTTTCCTAATACTCCTTCTCCATTACTCCTTCCCTAAGATAATCACTATCTTGTATCTAACCCTGTAGATTAGTTTTGTCTGTTTGGGAACTTTGTAATGGAATTATTTGTTTAGCATAGTATTTGTGAGGCTGTTGTACTCTCACTGCCGTGTATTATTATCTTATTTGACTATACAGTGATTTACATATCTATTCTACTAATAGGTACTTGAATTATTTTTTTCAGTTTGGGATCATTGCAGTTAGGGCTGCTGTGAAGAATACTGTACACGTCTTAGTGAATATATGCTCACATTTCTTCATATTTATTTATTTTTTTAAGAGACAGAGTCTCACTTTTTCACGCTCGGTAGAGTGCTGTGGCATCACAGCTCACAGCAACCTCCAACTTGGGCTTAAGCAATTGTCCTGCCTCAGCCTTCTGAGAAGCTTGGACCACAGGTGCCCGCCCCAACGCCCAGCCATTTTTTTGTGGCCAGGGCCGGGCTTGAACCTGCTCCCTTGGTATATGGGACCAGTGCCCTCTCACTGAGCCCACAGGCTCTGCCCCATTTCTTCATATTCTTCATACATAAGGACATAGGTACAGAGGAGTGGGAACTTCTGTGTTATAGATACTGACCATTTTCTAAAATTATTAGGTCAATTTATATAACCTCATTTAACAAGAGTTAAGATATTTCATGGATCCTACTTTTCTTTCCCTAAGGTGTTATGATCTATTTCTCCTACTTTTCTTTCTTTTTGCTATATAAATTGAGCTGAATTTGACTAGTGGAATCCTCTTCATGTTGGATCTGATGGTCTTTTGGTATGTGCCCATCATCCTTAGAACAGTCCCTTGATTGCTGGCAAAGTTGTTTAGCAGAATGTCATTGAATGCATATACTATGTAATCCAAATCTCTTTCAGAGAAAGTACCATTCATTTTTATTTTATTTTTTTACCATTCATTTTTAAAAGTTGAGATATAATTCACACATCATGAAATTCTAAGTGTGCAGTTTAGTGAGATTTAGTATATTCACATGGTTGTATAACTATTACCACAGTCTAATTTAGAATAATTTTTATTTTAGATTTCATTTTTTTTTTTTTTGAGACAGCGCCTCAAGCTGTCCCCCTGGGTAGAGTGCCGTGGCATTACAGCTCACAGCAACCTCCAACTCCTGGGC